CGTTTCAGACCGAGTTGATTCGTCTTTTGCATCTCCTCCTCCTTATGTTTGAACAGACACATACACACAGAATTATGTCAATAGTACCCATCTCGACGATCATTCTCGTAAACGCAGTCGGTTATGTTTTAAGTGAAAGTAAACAGCTGAGAAAGAAATCGGATGTGTATCATACTGGATCCGTGCAGTCGGATTTAAAGGGACAGCAGCCTATAAATACGTGCTGCTGAATATGTCACTAATGTTAATCAAACAACAAAACAGCTATAACAAAGATTAATCTAAATTGAATTCATACAGTGAACACTATGCAGTTATTTTACACTTAATTATTACATTTCTGTACCTGAATACTACTGTTTATTTTATCTATGCTTGTAAATTGTGTATTTCTTTTTTTTTTTCTTTCTTTTTCTTTCTTTTTTTTTTTACCGACTGTTCATTTGCCTTTAATCGTGTTTCAACTTTCTCAGACTATAGTTTTTGCTGTGGTATATGAAGAAGTACTTAAAGTGTGTGGAAAGCAAAGTTACAATGATATAAAATTAGTGTAATTAATTTGTTTTGTTTGTATGTTCACATTGATGTTAAATTACATTTTCTGATTTGTTACATTACTTATTAAGTAATGCTAAAACACTGCTGGTCACTTTCAGAAGTTATAGTGATTCTTTCTTTTCCAAGAAAGAATGTGAAACAAATTGGCTATATAATTTTAATTTTTAAATATTTTAAAATATAATTGAAATTGATTTTTCACACTTTAAGCAATATGGTATCGCATATCGAATATAGCATTTTTTAACAAGGTATCGCATATCGCATTTTTCTTCAATATCGCACAGCCCTACATGCAACTAAGATTTCAAATACTGGTCACACTTTATTTTAAGGTCCAATTATCTCTATTAACAAACCATTAACTATGACCTTTGCCACAAACTCCTAATTTGCTGTTTATTAATAGTTAGTAAGGTAGTTGTTAAATTTAGGTATTGGGTAGGATTAGGGATGTAGAATATGGTCATGCGGAATATGTGCTTTATAAATGCTAATAAACAGCCAATATGTTAATAATAGGCATGCTAATCAGCAACTAGTTAATAGTGAGAATTGGTCGCTATACTAAAGTGTTACCCAAATATTTTATATTACAGGCTTTGGCTGAAAACCTCACAAGTCATAGATGTTTCTTCAACTACAAAGGTTTGAGGTCAAGTTAAAATGTTTTTGAAAGAAAGTCTCTTCTGCAGACCAAGGCTGTAATATTATAAAATATTAATAAAATAGGGAAAAAATTTTTTTAGTATTAGTATATAGTATTTTTAATATATTTAAAAATTAAATTTCTTCCTTTGATGGCAACGCTGATTTTTTAACAGCCATTACTCCAGATTTCAGTGTCACATGATCCTTCAGAAATCATTCTAATGTGATGATTTGGTGCTGAAGAAACATTTCTTATTAATATCAATATTGAAAACAGCTGTGCTGCTAGTATTTCTGCAAAAACCACAATACATTTTTTTTCAGGATTCTTTGATGAATAGAAATTTAAAAAGAAAGCATTTATTAGACACTAAAATATTTTTTAACATTACAAATGTCTTTACTGTCACTTTTGATCAATTTAATGCATCGTTGTTAAATAAATTATGAATTTCCTTTTTATTTACACATTTCTTAAAAAAAAATACTAACAATTTAAAATATTAAAATAATAAATACATAATACATAAAATACAAAAATTAAATACATAAAAAATAATACAAACAGTAGTGTATAAATGCATCACAGGATAATGTTGTGTTATTTAAACTGAATCCTTTGTTTTGCTAAGGCTAATATTACAGCTAGCACATTACGTATTTTTTTATTTTGACAATTACAGCTATAATTTGTATTTTTAGACTTTGCTTCATGTTTTAATATTTAGTGTCTAAAATAAAACGTAGCAAAAATCAAAATGTCATGTGATAACATGACAAAGAAGTTAAATGTATTTGTTTTAATAATAAATATCAAACCCTGTGACAAAAAGAAGGAGAAGAAGAAACACTTAAGTTTTCTGTGGTGGGGAAGTGGGACTTACTCAGCGATGTCGAGGTATCCGCAGGAAGCGGCAGCGTGAAGGGGAATCCAGCCTTCATTGTCGGGCTGGTTGATGCAGGCTCCATGCTCCACTAGGAAGGTCACCATGTCCACATTATCATCTATGCAGGCCTGGAAAAGAGAAGAAAGGAGTTAACATCTAAGCAAGAGTACTAGCCATTTAGCATCTCAAAACCAATTCAAATTGACCCGTCCAAAACAATATTCATGCAGCATATAGCATTTCAGTTACCTAAGGTCTGGATTAAGAGCCTTAGCAAAACAGTTTCATAAACCCAAGTGTGAGCTTCAGGGCCAAACATTAATCTTCAGTGGGAACCTATTCCTCTAAACAAAGGCACATTATATCATCAGGTAACCAAAATCCCTTGAGGGAAATATGGAGGTCTGTATTTAAAGCATGTCACCACTCGATGAGACAAAAGAGATTGATAGAGACAGTGACAATATATATATATATATATATATATATATATATATACACACACTACAGTTCAAACGTTTGGGGTCAGTAAAATTTTAAGAAATAAATGCCTTTATTCAGCAAAGACACATTATATTATTCAAAAGTGACAGTAATATTACATAATATTGCTGTATTTACTGTAATTTTGGATCAAATAAATGCAGCCTTGTTGACCTTGTAAAAAAAATAAATAAATAAAAACGCTGACAGAAAAATACTAACTTCAGTCATACAAATTTGAAATAAATGATATATTCTTCCTTTTTACAGTCGGCAAAGATCAAAGATTTTGATCATGGCGATCGTGTTAACTGCCTAATTATCTTATATTTTGAGAGGGGCTCTCAGTGCCCATTGTCAGACTCAAACACCTCACAGTCTAAACTCCACAACCTTGACTAGCGTCCAACCTCAGTTCCCCATGTGCTCCCCTCTTGAACGGCTGCCCGTAAAATCTCCTGGTCTTACGGCTGGTTGCCATGACAATACCATAGACAAGGAAACACACAAACCAGCCTCACGTTCAGGGCACACGACTATCTGGTTGAAATCCTTGCCCAAATTTGGGCTGTTTACAGTACCGCAATAGAAACGTGTGGGCCTCTTTGCTCTTATCAGGGCCTTGTCAAGCCAGAGGTAGAGGAAACCAGGACTGTCCAAACAACTAGCTTAAAAGATTCTGAACACCTTTTACAGGTTCAACGTGGCTGTTATTGTACACAGACTTCACCATGAAATCAAAATTGACAACTCTATTTTTTTATGGAATATTACAGTGTTTATTTTAAATGTTTATCCATAATTTTTTACATTTATGTGCTGACATCTCTCCTCTCATTACATTTGCACCGGGACAATAATCACTCCTCTCCAGATACACTTTCACTCAGATACAAGTCAGAATACCAACTTTAAATTAGCAAAATAGGATGAGACGTGTGAGAATTTTAACAAAACGGAACTGAAAATTATTTTAGTATTTAGTAGGAAGTAGGCTGTCGTGAACAATTCAGTCTGCCTGTTGAGTCCATGGAGGACTATGTAGAAGCAATTTCATCTGCTAAATTAACTTCTAAATTAATTCTAATCTGTGCCCGATTTGAAATCCTACAAAATAATCTATAAATCATATAAATAAAAAAACTGATGAAGTAATTTCAGTTGTTATTATGACCATTAATGTATTTAGTTTACATAATACTATATAACCAAAGCTATAGGCTAAATCACAAAATTAAAGATTTTAGTTAGTACGCTAACCTATGTTTAGTTAACTAAGCGCTCAGCTTATTTGCTTATGATACCGCTACCTGATTAGCCTTACACTATACCTTACAACAAATGTTAAATGAAACGTTTTACACATTTTGTTTGATTGGCTTTAGAAATGACTACTTCCTGAAATCTTAGGCTCAACAGAAAGAGCATAACGAACTGACAACTGCCCTCAGACAGCCAGTAATCACAAATAGGTCTCATAAGCCTTCGGCAGACATGACAAAATAGACGAATATAATAACATGGTTAAGAACAATTTGTGAGTCTTTTTAAACGATTCATTAAAAACAGCCAGCTCAGTCATTTGTTTTTATCAAGAACTGCTCTGACTAATTCAGTGAGACAGATTCAAACCGTTCAAGAATAATTTGTGAGTCTTTTTAAATGATTCATTAAAAACAATCAGCAAAACAACCACAAAAGAAATACACATTATAATTTGATTGCCATTATAGGTAATTAACTTAAAAGAGTGATACAAAACACATTTTTAGGGGCACCCAAATATGGCCCACTGCCCCAAGTCATTCACTCGGCCTTGGGATAACGTCCCGCTTAAGGCAAGCAAGCATTCCCTCTGCCCTCAAAACACACCATGTTTATTATAAGCCTAACCCAGCAGTTCCCACAGCCCAACAATGGCAATCCCTTAATGGCTGTAATTGTTCAGGCCTGACAGGTGTGAGAGGCCGTGACCACATCAGGGAATGCAGAGCTGGACTTTGAGCTAAAAGACAAGGGAAATTACTCTCCAAAGAAAAGAAGAACTCTAAACTAATTCCATAAAGTGCTTCTGAGCGCCATGTTGGAGTCTCGGAGCACTTGTGTGTAGCGTAGGAAAAAAGCAGCACTGTAAATTCCTTTCCGAACATGCACAGAGCAGCTATAAGAATGTCATCTGTGTGTAATGAAGACAGATTTGGTATGTGGGCGACAAACTGATCCAGACAGACGTGAGGTCTGTTTTTTATTTGATGGTGCGGCTACACATTTAGAAGACATTTGGGAGCTAATCTGACTATTAATGTTAGTAATAACAGCAAGGATTACATCCAAATCCCACATCACTGATGGTCGCAGACAGGCACGTACAGAGACCACAGACGTGTACTGACTCAATAGAGAACAAGTCATCACATCTCCATTCAAACCTGTTTGACAGAGCTGGAGAGATGCATTGATTAGTACCAGACATGGAGATAAAGCAGATATATTTAGGTGTATACATAATAACCAACAGAAATCTTTGGTTTGAATGAGACTTCTGTGTGAGCTCTGCTTCATATGTTGCTGATCTATTGACAAAGCACCTTTTTTGCCAGCAAAATGTTGCAGAATTTTCGCGAATAAGATCAAACTTTAAAGGGATAGTTCTAGTGGTTCAACGGATCACAAATCTCACGGTTCAGATCACATTACGGTTTTTGACCCACGGATCGGATCATTTTTTGGATCAGCAAGAAAAGAAAAATATTTCAATTTAAGTTGCATTCGATTTATTACTTAGAGCGAAGTACTTCTTTGATACCACAGCAAATACTACTAGATTAACTAAGAAAGTTTAAACATGATTAAAGAGACAAGAGAACAGCCAGTAAAAATAAGAACAAATACACAAATTACAAGCATAGATTAATACAGCAGAATATGTTACAAATAATATAAGGTTGGTAGTATTCAAATACAGAAATGTAATAATTAGGGAAAATAACACTGCATAGTGTTCACTGTATAAATTAAATATAGATTTTTATCACAGCTGTTTTGTTGTTTGATGATCATTAATGACAGCAGCAGTATTTATAGGCCGCTGTCCCTTTAAGACCTGATGCACGGATCCGATATAATGATACACATCACATCCGATTTCTTTCTCAGCTGTTTTCATTCACTTGAGACATAACTGACTGCGTTTACCTGAATGACAGTTGAGATGGGTATTTTGTGTGTATAATGTGTCTGTTCAGAGGATTCAGAAGAGGATTCAGTTCGGTGTTCGCGCGCCATCTGAAACGCGTTTGCGAGCTTCATGTGTGTGCGGCTGTGCGCATACTAGAGAACAGTGCGCGAGTAACGAAACGAGTTCCCTTTCGCCTTTTCTCTCTGGAATTGTTTAAAATTCGCTTGCTTGTGTAAATACGAACAAATGATAAACTTATACTCTATTATGGTTAAATTTTGCAATTAATCCGCGGATCACATGCGTGCCGAACCATGGGGCTTGGTCCTCAAGGATCACGGATCAACTACGATCCGTTTAACCACTAGATAGTTCACCAAAAAATTTTTAATTACCCCATGATTTATTCACCCTCAAGCCATCCAAGGTGTTTTCTTCTTTCAGACAAATACACTCAGAGTTGTATTAAAAAATGTCCAGGCTTTTCCAAGATTTATAATGGCAGTGAATAGGGGTTGAGATTTTGAAGCCCAATAAAGTGCATCCATCCGTCATAAAAAGTGCTCCACGTGGCTCTGAGGGGCTAATAAAAGCCTTCTGAAGTGAATCAATGCATTTGTGTAAGAAAAATATCCATATTTAAAACTTTATAAAACGGTAATCTCTAGCTTCCGCTAACGGTATTACGCGCGCTCACGAAAATTAGAAGTACAAGACAAGGATTTGTAAAGAAAAATATCAGAGGATTTCGATATAAGCCAAGAAGAGACTGGTTTTCCTTTGCTGTAAACAAAACTTGGCTCTTGTGAGACTACGTCATCTGCTGGAACGCCACTCTCTCATGAACGTGCGTACGACAGTTAACAAAACCTAGAGATTATGGTTTATTAAGTTTTAAATATGGATATTTTTCTTATTATTAACTATAGAATACCCAAGATAGAATGGGGAAAAAAATCCAACACTTAATATGGCCGCTCTATTGAAGGATGCCCCACCTCTGAATAAAAGAGCCAATCGCTAATCAGTAAAGTCAGCACATCACTGCAGCTGTCGCTAGTCCCGGTTTTTATAGAAACAGTCAGCGTTCTGAGACACACGTTTAGGACTGTGCATGCGCAATGGCTGGTCTAGCCTGAAAATAGGAAAATTTTACCCATTCAAAAGATAGGAGCTGCACTTGCATGCATGAGTGGCATTTCAAAGATGACTGCCGAGTGAAATTTCTTGCCTTAAAGGGACTCTGATTAACCCCCTGGAGCTGTGTGGAGTACTTATGATGGATTGATGCACTTTTTTGGGCTTCAAAATCTCGACCACCATTCATTGCCATTGTAAAGCTTGGAAGAGCCAGGACATTTTTTAATATAACTGCGACTGTATTCATCTGAAAGAAGTCAGTCATATACACAGGATGGCTGGAGGGTGAGATGGGGTCATTTTCATTTTTGGGTGAACTATCCCTTT